GATTTACAATACAAAAATTGATTTTCCGAAGATCTTTTGTTTTGTCAATTTGGTCCCTTTTCTCAGCACCTAGCCCAAATTATTATTATTTTTTTTTATACATTTTGGTAGATTTTATTCAGTAACATACGGTATATCGATATACGAAACGGAATTTAAGTGGATTCTATAAAACCCCCGTTTGAGGTTAACCTGACCCTAATTTAACTAGGAAATTCCAAATTCCATTCCCACTTACAACATATGTATACTTGGATAAATAAATTTACCTTAAGTTTTATATTATAATTTAGTGCAAATAAAATGAAATTAAATACATACTTAATAAAATTTATATATATTAATGTTGTAAGGGACACTTTAAGTATTTTAAGTAGCACTGTACAACCATCTGAAGACTGCCAAGAGAAAACACAACCATATGAAGACTGCCAAGAGAAACCATGTAAATCTAAATTTTCGGGCTGTGCCTCATAGTAATATACGCAGTTAGTCTTTCCCGTACTCCGTGAAACGATTTATTTGTTTTTCACTTGACTGCGCTTATATAATCTGTCATTAAAATATTCTTCAGATAATAAAATTAAATATCAATTTCATAAACTGGCATCAAAAGGTGGTAATCCATATTTCGCTGGATTAAAGTTTTCCAATGATAAAATCTTTTCATCCGCTCCATTATCACCTGGATATATTACCACCAATTCTGGATGTGCTACCCAAACAACCTAATTTGTTTAAAAATAATAATATATCCATTTTTTGTTTTTATTTGATTAAATCTTGATTTTTAAACCTACATTCATCCCCGCATTTTTCGCTGCTCGAATTCCATTAATTGCATCTTCAAATACCAAACATTGTTCAACAGGCGGATTTCCTATTTTCTTACTGGCCGCAAGAAATATGTCCGGTGCTGGTTTGCCACACTTGACATCTGGATCATCGCCACAGATAATACTGTCAAACATACTAAAAAGCTCTTGATTATTGGTTGCTTTAATCTCGAACATATGGCGATGTGAACTTGTTGCTACCTATAGTATTACATGTGGAGTATTACATGTGGTATTAAGTTATAAAGAAATATAATACAACTCTTCACCTTGCATTTTTTAATTATACCTACTGCCATTGGAATATTATGTGCTTTCAAATGTTTTATAAGTCGCTTATTTCATTATTTCATTATAAAATGTGTCATTCAATATTGTAAAAATAAATATGTCAATTAATCTATGAATACTGACGTACCATGACACCGGGCTTAGGTTTAGCAAAGGGAAATCGTTCACGCTTTATATTTAAAACTCATTTTAAGTTCGATATTTAGGATATCATTATTAGATCAACTAGTTGAAATTACCTGTTTTTCATTTCGTTCCTTAATGTATTCATCCGCCGTCATGTCAATGCCTGTTTCATTTACTAAAATAATGCCAGCCTAGACTCAAATTATAATTAGATAGACTTGTCTCTTAGAAAATTTTAAACTGTATGGAATATTTTCTTACCTCTTGTTGAGGGAGTCCCATTAAACGCGATTTGAGTTCCCATGAATATGTTTTTCCGAACCTTGCTAGAATTTCCGCTAACCAAAAGTATTTGTCAAGGTTAACCTAATATCTTAATCTTTTTTAATTTTATAAGAATAAATACATGTAACTTCAGTATAGAGTCGCTCCGTATCCTGTTAAGTTATGAATTAGCACAAGTAATATTACAATATTTCTAGAAGTGTAACTCTATAAAACATACCAACAATAAACCTGCGTCAAAATATTTAATTATGTAGTTCAAATTGGTAAAATAAATGCGTATATACAAGTAGTTGTAAAAATATTAACCATCCATGTCAAAAATGCAATGAGTTATCTTCATTTTTGAACGTTTGTAAAAAAAAAAAAAAGTAACCGGTATAACAATTTGTTTCGTTATTTGTCTAAAAGTCCGGTCCGGTATCCGGATCCAATAAAATCACAGGATCTTGTGTAACAAAACAACCGCGAAAAACATAAGAAATTGTAAAAAAAATGTAAATAACACAAAAATTTACTATGATAACTAACTTCCGACCTCTAAATAAAAGTTTTCAGAATGAAAT